GGGGAGCTCGCTTGCTAGTATTTTGTATCATTTTCCAACAGTTGATTTTTTGAGTCACTTGATTGTACTTTGGTGCTTTAGCTGAATTTTACGTTCCTGGAAGGGTCATGCCGAAGAAGTTTTGTCCTATTTTCAAATTCTGCACCCCCTCGATTAAATATCGCACCTTTTAATTATGAGTGGTACCTGTAAAAAAATAGATTACCACTCGTTTGGCTGAACAGGCAGCAAGTACTAAAGCGCGCTAGCAGTAGAAAGGTATTTTGAAATAGGAAGGAGAATGGAAGAGAAAATAATTTTAAGAAATTAGAAAAAATAGTAAAAATTATTTTAATAAAATTATTATAAATGGTAAGAAATGTTTCGGTCTTCTAAGTGTCAAAAATATCGGATTACTGTACCTTTTTGGTTGTGCCTTTTTTTTAATTCTGGTAAAGTAGTGGGGGAAAAAAAACATAAATTATGCTTTGCAAAGTTATACTTGTTTACTGATGAAGTACTGTAAGAGAGAGTTTTTGTGCTGCAGTTATAAATCAACCAAGAATTAATTAGAGTAAATATGGGATGGATGTGCTGGTCGTTGTGGCGCCAGGGAAGCGTTTATTGGATGTTAAAAAAAGAAAGAAAACAGCAATCAAAGTAACAGTTATACCAGCCTAACCATAGGTTGGAGGGAAGTGATGAGCTTCGCCAAAGTCCCGGGAGGTCCAGTTGATGAGAGTGACGACGCGGAGAGTCGTGTTGAAGACAGACGTGTAGAACCAATTGGAGTCGAGACCAGGAACAGGACCAGGACTGGAATCAGGACCAGTCCAAAAGTGAGGGAAATGGGGGTTTATATGGAGGCTAAAGGATCCACCCCGGAAGTGAACGAATGTCCCTCCATTCCGGTGATGAAGGCCCAAAAGGTGCCAGGCAGGCGCGTTAAAAAAAGTTGTTGACCAAGAAAAGGATGGAATTGGAAGGAATGTGAAGATTGCTGAATAAGATTAAGATGGGTAGGAGATAGGATTACTGTAATAAGTCATGAGAAGAAGGAAATAGAAATAGCATTAAAAAAACTATATATAACGTATTTTGTACCTATTTATATTAGAATGTGGATAAGCGCTATTTTTTTACAATTTCCTAAGAAATTTTTAAAAAGTTTTGTTAGTGCAGCTTAATAATCCGAGCTGCGGTACAGTGGTATGTGTTCTCTGCTCATATGTGTTTTTTTTTTTCTTTGCCTGTTCAAATCAGTGTTCTGGGAATCGCAGGCTTTTTCTGAATTTGTTTGAAATCGGATGTGCTATGTGTGTGTGCGCGTTTTGCTGTCATTCTCCTTTCGTTGTTTTTTTGGAAGCATGATTGTGTGAAAGTTGCTTCGCATGATCGCTCTCACTGCAGTGTAAGCGAAGAAAAAAAAAGTACAGCAGCATAGCCAACAATAGATGCTCTGCTTGCCTCACAGGATATAAGACTGTTTTTATTCAAAAACTGATAAATTTATATATTACCGTGTTGTTGCTGGTACATTTAGGATACAACAGCAATATTATTATATTATTACGTCAACGTAATTCTTTGTTTTTACATCTTATACCAAGGCATAAACTCATGTTTTCGTGAGCCTGTGCTTGTGTGTGTTTGGAAGCGTGTGAACTTTTCCACCCATTTTTCGAATTTTTTGGCGGGAAAGCGATTTCGGAAACTGGTAAACATCCGGGGCTGGAATTTCGCATGAATATTCTCTGTCCAAGTATAGGCTAAAGATTTCAAATTCAGCTACTGCATTCGCTTGCGTCACACATACAGTCAGGTTAGAATGCGCAAATCCGTTTCACGTAAGCTCGAGATTGGCGGAAAATCAGCAGCTGTAATTTTGCCGGAATATATATCGTCCATCTAGGGGCTCGTGTACATAAATGGAGTTTCGAATTGCCTTTATATCATTTTTTTTGCAACCCCAAAAGCGAGTGCATTTTGTGGGTTTCGTCATCCTTCATTCTCAAGATTCATTGTCCAAA